AGTCAATTTCTTAAGGCTTAGGGCTTAAATCATCTATTGTAGACTGGGACTAAGTCCCAGTCTACAATAGAGATTTAAACCCTAAGCCTTAAGAAATTGACTAATCACAATCGCGTATTCTACTCGTACTTGACCGTGATTGGTCAATTTCTTAAAGCATAGGGCTTAAATCCTCTATTGTAGACTGGGACTAAAGGCACAACAACGGAGTGACGAATCGAACGGCGGATCAACGAGCGCGTGTGGAATGGACAAAATCTCAAGAGCCAGCCAATCCAGAATCGCGTTGACGTTCCGCCATATGTATATTCGTACCATCTCACAAAAACAATCGCGGCTTTTGGAGCCATCGACAATCGTGCCACTACAACGGGGCGACGATACTTCCAGATACGTCACTCCAAATTTGCCGCATGATAAGCGCTCGTAAGCTCGATCACCCGGATCGCCGTACCGAGAAATATTGTGCATGTGGCACGCACGCCGGATGGGTCGGCTGTAATCATCAATGCATTCTTTCTAGCTAATGTAAGATAATTTTTTTAGTAACTCTTTCGGAGGTACGTAAAGTCTCGGGTGTCCTTTGTCTGGCCGTCGCCGAGATCACGCCGGTGGCTTCGCCTTATTAACGATCGTTAGACGCCGCGTGTACAAATTTCATCGGTCGCTTTACCACTCATTGTATCCGATACAACTGACGCGCGTATAGAAATGCGATTTGCAGTAAGTCTAGTGAAAACCCACAAAGTTTCGCTGACGAAACTCGTTCAACCTGGAAACGCTTCTCCCTGTCAGAATCTACAGCTAGGGAGGAGATTCGCGATAACAGTTTGTTAATGACGTGCGCCTGACAATTTCTTCCTTACTTGTTACAGATGAGGGGACTCATATGGTTTTACATACTGTCGTTATGCTCCAGTCAACTTGGAGCCGACAAGAAGATCAACAAATATGTGACGACTTTAATAAACGCCAAATGGAACGAGACGCCTCTCGTTCTCGAGGCAGCTGAATATCTCAGTGACGAGAACCCAAGTTATCTTTGGAAGTTTATCGATTCGTATTCCAGAAGGATTAACGATCTTGCGCCGGGTAATTATATTATTACAGTTTGCTTGATTCCGTGCATGCCGTACTCATCTTTCATAATTGTCTTAAACAGCTACACAGAGGGAGAGTTACGATATGATTCTGGAATTAGCCGAAAGGTATCTGTCCGAGTCTGAGATGGCAGTCTTTAAGTTAGGATTGTCGTTACGTATTTATTCCGCACGCGTGGAAATGTTCTCTCAAATGGCTGTGAATAAAAATGTCTCTTCATACGGATGCGACAATGTTGTTAACATTGGTGCAACGTTTACCTGTTCTCCAGAAGATGTAGATAAATTGCTCGAGCAGGTTGGCAATTTGCTGTATTTTGTCTAACGTCCGGCGATACAAGTCGCACATAACTGCATTATCTATTTACCAGGATACATGGGAAACTGTAGACACCTACGATGTGGATCATCGATATTTGAGCACTCCGGAATCGGATAAAGTAGTGATATTGTACGGCCAGATCGGGACTCCTACGTTCTCCGATTTTCACGAGAAACTGAAAAACATAGCGGAAACGAAAGGGATTAATTACATTCTTCGTCATTATGTTAAGGTAAGGTCGGGTTACGTCATGGATATCGTACGTATTATAGAGAATTGTGTTTCTTACGTCTAAAATGATTTGCAGGAGAGGGACGATAAGAAATTGCGTTTATCGGGCTACGGTGTAGAACTGCAAATGAAATCTACAGAGTACAAAGCGACTGATGATTCGGATATCAAAGACAACACAGGAAAAAATTCTGAGGTGGCAAACGATGGCATGGAGGAAATTGAGGGGATCAACTTTATGACTTTAAAGTAAGGTGGTTAGTAAGAACGTAAGATATTTAGTTTGTGTATCTTTTCGATACAGTCTACATAGTTTTGTAAACAACGTGTGTAGACGCTTTAAAAGCATCTACGAACTAAACTCAATTTTTCTCAGCCTACAAACTTAGCTGTATTTTAAACGTATCGAAACTTATTCTTCCAGTGACTGTTTATCTCACCAATAAAATTGTTTGTGTTTTGCCTTTTACATATTACACATATATTATATGTAACATAAAGATAGTATTTGTAGAACTCTAACAATAAGACGTGATTTATTATGCACTGCATCTAAATGTACGATAATTTTGACGCAATGTGATATATTATTATATATTTGCGTAACACTTTGCATTGCGTCGCTGTGACGTGACGTACTGGCTTTTCAGGAAATTACATCCGGATCAGCAAGCTGAACTGGATAAAATACAGACGTATTTACTGGAAACCAGTCACGAGATCGGTGCTTTTAAAGTCTGGCAGTTTCAAGAACTGAGCCATCAGGCAGCAGAAAGGATAATGAAGTCCCCTTCTGCAGAAGCGTTGAACATCTTGACTGATATATCGCAGAATTTTCCCATGCAAGTGCGTATTTAAATTAAATTCTGTGTCTATATAAGTATGTATGTAATAGTTGAATTTATTTTTGTTCTGTAGGCAAAGTCGCTGATTCGAACTAAAGTAAACAACGATATGAAGAAAGAGATGAAACTGAATCAGGAAATATTCATGGCAAGTCTAAATATACAACCAACTGATACAGCGCTCTTCATCAATGGCTTATTTTTTGACCTAGAAGCTATTGATGTGCTAACTCTTTTAGAATCTTTGAGGAGCGAGCTACGAGTGATGGAAGCTCTTCATAAAATTGGTGCGCGACTTACAAATATCTGTATCGAATTATCAATACGTTAAACTATATTATATTCAAAGTTTATATTTTTATGAATTATTTCAGGCTTTAGTAACAGGAAGATGAGTAAACTGTTAGCTTTGGATTTATCAGGAGGCATGGATAGTCAAAATTTTGCAATGGATATAAGAGATTCCGCAGTTAATTGGATTAACGATATCGAGAATGATCCACGCTACAGTAATTGGTCGCCGTCGTTAACTGAATTACTACGGCCAACGTTTCCTGGCATGCTCAGAAACATTAGAAGAAATTTATATAATCTAGTTGGTGTTTTGCTAAAAACTAGAAATGATAATAATACACAATTTACATGGAATAATTAATACATGATAATTTTTTAGGTATTAATTATTGATCCTTTAAGTGAAGATTCCATGCCGCTGATAACTCTAGCACAATCTCTCTATGCGCATTCCGCACCACTGAGGGTAGGATTTGTCTTCGTGACGAATTACAATACATCCGTAACAGGTTTAATGGATGCCAGTGTCGCAGTTAACAATGCGTATCACTATTTCGCGGACACTAGAAGTCCAAAAGAGGCTTTACATTTCTTGTCGGAGGTAAGACTTTATATTTAATTAACACTTCTGTGACTTTATTTAAAAGTTGATGAAAATTATTTTTTTGCTTTAGTTAGGAAATTACATCGGTCATTACGTTGACGTAGACGACATAAAAAAGGTTGTCAGATCCAAAGACTCGTCCGCCAGTATACCTTACATTCTTGGCGAGGAATCGGAATACGATGTGGGACGGCATTTAGCCAGCGACTTTATTAAACGATGTGGATTTAAGAAGTTCCCACAAGCCTTGTTGAATGGCATACCCTTGACGCCTAATCAAATAAATTCCGAATCCTACGAGGAAGCAGTGTTATCTACTATTATGTCGCAGACACCTATGTTACAGAAAGCAGTATATCGAGGTGAAGTAACGGAAGGGGACGACGTCGTTGATTTTCTTATGAATCAACCAAATGTTATGCCACGGTATGTGGCTCTTATAATAATTCTCCAATAAGGGAAACTCTAAATTGACATAATAAATTAGGTTCCATTTTATTAATTATTTCGCATTTTAGATTGAACGAGCGTATTTTAAAGGTGGACAAAAATGCGTGGTTAAATTTAATTGGCACAATTCCTGAAGATGACGACTATACTAAATGGTCTTCTCAAAATCTATCAACTTATTTAATGAAGAAAATGCACTACTTGTTTGTACCGCGTCGCAATATGCGTCATTTATATTCCTTCTGGGTTGTAGCTAATTTGAAATCATTGTCCGGCAGACAGTTATTACGAGAGGCCCTCGAATATGTAGTATGTAAACAATTTTTAGCTAAACTCCATGTATATTATGAGAATATATGTGTAAAACTTATTCTTTTTACAGGAATCAAATACTGATGCGCGAATTAGTGTTATTATTAATGCGAAAGATGACGCGAATTTCAAGTCTGATATTAATCAAATTGCGCTTGCTGCAATAAGCGCATTATCGCCGGAAAAGGCTATACTTTATATGCGTAAAATCCTCAAAGAAGATAATGCAGCTCTCATTGCTAGTGGTAACTTTGAGATTGAGGTAAGATAGATCAGTCACACAGTCTTTTGCCGTACTAGTGACACTTGAGCAGATCTCACAATCGGTCCCTAATGTATCAACTTGCAATTATTAAATCGGCATAAGAGTTAGGTTCACTCTATTTACGTGCACTCGGTAAGTCGGTAACGCTTGCGAGCGTCACATGCGTCAGAAATATGAAAAGAACGTTCCCCCCCATCACTGCCTGGTCGACCAGGACGACGATGACGACAAAGACATTTCTTAAAACATCGAAATCTGACAATTCGGACTTTGCATTGCAATATCTCCACTCATGGGACACGTAGGAGAAAAATAAAAACACTTATTATGCAAATCGAACCCAAGCTATCCATTGAGCGCACTAGTTGTTGAGATCCGAAAATTTGAGGGCCAGTGAAATCGCGTACTCGCGTAAACTACACGGTCGGTCTTGCGCGCGCGGTTCTAGCTACGCTTATACTTGGCGCGAGACACTACCGTGTCTTGTGACAGATGTGTAATATATATATTTTTTCAGGAATATATATATATATATATATATTACTGAAAATCGTTTCATCAATAATTTGATTGCTACAGGAATCCGTGGCAGCAGTCTTAGAGAGTCAACCTTCGATACTATCGTTGCATCAACATTACGTTAAAACCGTCCTAAACATGGAAGTAGAAACAAGAGCAGTTTTGTGCAATGGCCGTATTATTGGTCCCTTAGATAACAGCGAAGAATTTACAAGTGAAGACTTCTCTTTATTAGAAAGATTTAGCCAAAGTACCTATGGCGAGAAGTTATTTATGAAACTGATAAAAGATCAAATTTTCAATGAAGATGAATATGGTATTTCATCATCTTTCATTTAAAAAGTATAATTCTTTTTAATCTGTATGTAGAGTAAAAGTAATTAAAATCTGTAATATTTTGTACAGAAGAAAATAATATTACGGATGATACGATTATGAAAATCACTTCACTCTTGGTGCCACGTCCGCAAACTCGAAGTCGGTACGATGTTCCTTTCCACGGGGATGATCACAGGTAAATAATTTTTTTGCGAATGTATAAGTAAAACGTTGAATGTAAGACATGTAAAAATGTTTTATCTTACAGTGTCATAAAGATTCCAGCAGTCAGTCCCGATAAAGTCGCTTTCAACTTTATTGCCATTGTAGACCCGGTTTCACGTGGTGCTCAAAAATTGGGCCCGATATTGAAAACGCTACAACAGGCCTTAAATTGCAATATAAAAGTATTTTTGAATTGTGTAGATAAGAACAGCGATATGCCATTAAAGAGGTAATGCTCGAAGTTCTTCATAATTTTTTTCTCGTTTGTTGTGAGCTATAATATACTTTTCTCTCATTCCAGCTTTTATCGATTCGTGCTCGACCCTGAATTGCAGTTTACAACAGAGGGAGATATCAGTGGTTCTATCGCAAAGTTCACAAAACTTCCCACTTCGTCATTATTAACGCAATACATTCATGCACCTGAGAACTGGCTCGTGGAAGTAGTTCGCAGTGTTTATGATTTAGACAATATTAAGCTCGATAATGTCGCGATGGGCGTACATAGGTAAAAATATATTGAAGTATACCCTGTTATCAAACAAATTTCATTCAAATTTGATTCTAGTTTTACTCTTGTGTTGTTTCAGTGAATTCGAGTTAGAATACCTGCTGCTCGAGGGTCACTGTTTTGAGGCAGTAATGGGGAATCCACCAAGAGGCCTTCAGTTCACATTGGGCACCGAGAAACGGCCCGTGATGGTTGATACTATAGTAATGGCCAATCTGGGATACTTCCAGCTCAAGGCAAATCCTGGCGAATGGGTGTTGCGACTTCGGCAAGGACGATCCGCAGAAATATACGACTTTACTACTGTCGACGGACAGGACATTATTCAGAATGGCAATGATGTGAAAGTCCTGATAAGTTCTTTGAGAAGTCACGTGTTGAAAGTAAAGGTTTCCAAGAAGCCAGATAAGGCGGGGATGGATCTTTTATCGGACAACGAGAAGGATTCTGGATTATGGAACTCCATTTCTAGGTACGTTCAATTGATTGACTCGCCTGTACTCCATGTCTCAATGATCTCCTAATACTGGGTGTTAGTATTTAACATGTGTAGCATGATTCCGTCACCTTTGAACTTATATGTTCTCTAACTCTTATGTGTTCTCTCTCTGTTTTTTTTTAGCATTGCCAAATTTTGGTAAGCTTCCCATTATTATGTAGTTAAGTACATCCATAAATTTCTATAATTAAGTACACGTATACACATACCCCACGAAGAAATGAGGCATAAATACAATATGCATTACAATATGGAGAACATATTCGTGGCTTTAAATTCTAACATCCAGTTAATCTGCAATTCTAACATACTTCAAGCCATTACGTTAGTCCATTCACATTGATTACTATAATCCCAAGTCACCAATATGTATTCTTGTCTTCCACTTGTCCTATTTACCGACTTAACATATTACCGCTTTGACAATGTAGCTTATTATCAAGTGGGATACCTTACTGGCTGATAAAACGGCTAACTTACATTTCGTTCAAATTTATAGTAAATCTTTTGATACATTCTTCGTTATATTTTTAAAACTAGGACGTTTACGGCGACGGACGAAAGTGAAGACAAAGATGACAAATTAAATATCTTCTCCCTTGCCTCTGGCCATTTGTACGAAAGATTCTTGAAGATCATGATGCTGAGTGTTGTAAAACACACTAAGACACCGGTCAAGTTCTGGTTCTTAAAAAATTATCTTTCACCAACGCTAAAGGTAAACGTGTATGGCGCGCGCAGCAGTGAAATCTTGTTCTGTAAAGAAACTTTAATTGTAGAAACGAGTAACAAAATCTCTTTTATAATACAGGACTTTCTGCCACATATGGCCAAAGAATACGGCTTTGAGTACGAGCTCGTTCAATACAAATGGCCCCGCTGGCTTCATCAACAGACTGAGAAACAGAGGACCATTTGGGGATATAAAATCTTGTTTCTCGATGTGCTGTTCCCACTGAACGTTAAGAAAATAATATTTGTCGATGCCGATCAGGTGAGCGAGCTGTTTGAGGTGTTTGCGATATAAATATTCCTGATTGCCTCACGTGTTTTGTTCTTGTTAATTAAAACTGTCGCTTTTTGCACAGGTGGTAAGGGCGGATTTGAAGGAGCTAGCGACCATGGATCTCGGCGGCGCACCTTACGCGTACACGCCATTCTGCGACAGCAGAACCGAGATGGATGGGTTCAGATTTTGGAAGCAGGGCTACTGGAGAAATCACCTGCAGGGTCGTGCTTACCATATTAGCGCGCTATACGTGGTCGATCTCAAGCGATTCCGCCGTATCGCCGCCGGAGACAGGCTGCGTGGACAGTATCAGGCGTTAAGTCAGGATCCAAATAGTTTAGCGAATCTTGATCAAGTACGTGAGACGAGCGACTTGAATATTTACAAGAATACGAAAGATCATATTGTTAATTGCTGCAGTCGTCGTTTCTCTTGGCGTTTTTTTTTTTTGTAAAATAATTTGTAACGCTTTCAGGATCTCCCTAACAATATGATCCATCAAGTGGCCGTCAAAACACTACCACAGGAGTGGCTGTGGTGCGAAACGTGGTGCGACGATGCGTCTAAGAGATATGCCAAAACTATAGACTTGGTACGTATTCACATTTACGTCATCGCACGAACGAACGTGTCGTAATGTTTCTAGCCTTTTAGATCTATCCAGGTAATATGTCTTTTTCTCTCTTGTTTCTTCTGCTATAGTGTAATAACCCGATGACTAAGGAAGCGAAATTACAAGCAGCCATGCGTATCCTGCCCGAATGGGTGGGTTACGACGAAGAAATTAAAACTCTGCAACAGAAGGTAGAGAATGCTAACAGACAGACGGAGAAGGACAGTGGTACGTTTTCCGTAATATTAACGCGTATAAATTTGTAACATCTTTTTTCACGAGGCATTTCTTTCCGCTGTTTCAGAAACAGTCGATCATGTCTCCAGCCACAGTGAATTGTAAATTACATTCATACGCGACGATCCGAGGGACCAGACTCCCCCCGCGATCGTTGTGAAAGTTTTATAAAATTCTGTATAAAGAAATGTTCGTTTGTGCTCGATTAACGATCGTCAATACGTAAAACTTTCCATACTTCACTTTTGTAATCGACACTTGGCACTCAATGTGTAAATATTTGCCACTGGTGCTCGTGTAAACTCTGAAAAATAAGGATATATTGGAAGCTGAAGGTCTCTGTTACTTATTCTCATTGGATCCGCACTTCGTATATAATCAGGAATTATGGACTTGGCAAATAATCTCGTCCTTTCGTACAGCAAACGCGCAAGACCACTGCTTCTTCGGGCCAAGTGGAGGCAAGAAGTCAGTAAGTCCAATAATCTAATTGTTGATATTACAGTATTCTGGTTACTCATGAGCGTGCAACGCTGTGTTCATGGTATTAAGCCAATTGTGATTGATTATCCACTACGATAGTTTTAAGAAATAAACTTGTAACATTTGTAAAAAAGAAAGCTTCGATATTTTCCTTCGCGTAATGGAAAGAGGAAGGGTGCGCCTAGCTGCGGGAGCTTAAATAAATTTACTCGCGCATACAGCGTTACGTGCCGATAGGTTTGCTCGCAGAAAATCCGATTGCGTTTTTCAACGGCGTGACTTTTTGCGCCATATTTTTCAGCGCGGCTCATTGCACGCGCTAATGACTTGATTGTGTCTCGTGGGAATTTATTTTGAGCGTCGCGGCCGCGAGGTGAATTAGAGCGAGGCGAGCGAAGAAATTGGGCGCATTTCTGCGCGAAGCCGAGCGTCCCGCGGTCCAAACTATCCTCGATCGGGTCGAGAGAAGGGGACGAGATCGGAGGCTCGAGAATCGTCGCGTCGCCGACCATCTTTCGATCGAGGCTCGAGCGAGGTCGCGCGAAATGGACCAATTTCCCGCGATAAAACGCGCCCTTATCGCCGTTTATCGCGGCCCGCTTGGTCTCGCCGACGATCGATGGACGGGTGAAATCGGAGCGACACGTAACTCTCGTCGCATCGGAAGCGGCTCTTATCGGCGGCGGCTTTCCCGGGGGAATCGATCCGGGTCGTCGTGTTACGCGCGTCCCCCTCGTTCATAATATTTATGTAAACACACGAGGAAGGAGAGAGCCGAGCCGCCACGCACTAATGACATGTCCCAACGCATAGTAACCCCGCGCGGTCGCAGATTTGCCTTGCCACGGCACGGCTTGGGCTGCGCGGTCGGCTTCACGGTCGGCTTCTGTCAATTGTCCGATGCTCGCGTGTCCGCGTCGTTCGCGCTCCTCCTCGGCGACGATTCGTGACGGAATAATTCGCAGCGATCATGGCAAACAGCAGGGACAAGTCCGCGGACGTAGAGACTCTCGTCGAGCAAAGTAACAGGACCAACGAGTAAGTCCTTCCCTTCGATAATATTTGTTACGTTGCCGGAAACAATCTCTCTCTCTCTCTCTCTCTCTGAGAGACAATAGATAAACAATCTCACCTGACGGAAATTCGCCGTGTCCGCGAGCGTCGCGCGCGAAAAATGTGCGTTTCTTTATCTTCCGACGCGACGCGGCACGAAAAATTGCGCTTCGATTTGAATAATTCGACGTGCGCGATTCGAGTAATTGAGTCGATTCGCTGAAAGCGACCCGAGAAAGGTAGCGACGGAAAGTGAAGCGGGAAGAAAATGTCTCTCCCCGTTTGGAAAAGTAAAACGGAATAACTTATCTCTAACGTGTTACATTTAGCATTAAGTATAGTATTTACGCGAGGAGTGAATTTTTTTTCCCATTTGTCGGAACTATTGCATCAAATTCCTTATCTATAATTTGCGAGCCACTACGATAGCGAGTGTCGACCGAAACCTCACCTTGGCGGTGATAAAAGAAAAGGTGGACAGTAGCAATTTCGATCGATCGTCGCGACGCGTAAGCGGCCGCAGGATCGGCGAAACAATTCGTTCGAAACGAAGGGGAAGCCGCTGAGGGCATTGTGGTGTACAGATTTGCGGCCTTACTGGGCATTACTAGGCATCGCTAGGCATTCTTTGGGCATTAGGCCTTGCTGGGGCAATATAAAGATATAATAAAAGAAGATAATAAGATAAAGTAAGGCCCAGTGGGCATTGGTGTACAAGATTTTGGTCAGCGGTTTTTCCCCCTCGAAAGATCCGAAATGGCGCGTTAACTTAGGTATCCACACCAGGGACACGCCAGTCATTAAAAGTTCCGCCGGCCGTTCGCGCTCTTTTTCCTTTTTTTTTTTTTTATCACCCGGCAACTTGCGCACGTTACCGTTTTTGATAGACAGACGGAGGTCGCGTCCAACGATAGGCTACCGCGTTATTTCTTATCCGACCGTCCGGCACCTCGGTGGACACCTGTTTTTTATTTTATTTTTTTTTGCCCCTCGCAGTTCGGACCGCGTTTCCGCGTGGTGGACGCAAAAGTGCCACCCCCGATTGCCTCCGCGCTCCCCCTCTCGCCCCGCCGAGTTCATAAAACGTCACCGCACCGGGTGGCGGCCGGTAGTCCCGGCTCCGAGCACCACCGGCCACCGTGAGAATGGACTTCGGCTCCATCGTCGACGAGTAAATAACCAAGTTCGAAATCACTCCCTTGTGCTTGTTGCTCCCGGATTGTACGCGACACGGGGGGAGGGGGAGGGGGGGGACCGAGCCACTGCTCGAGATTCGACTCGCGGATTGACTTTCGATCGGACGATGCGAGCCGCGATCTCGAAATATCAGGGGATCTCGGTTGACGCGCCCGTTTTTAGGCCCGTATTTATAGTCGGTTTCTCAATTCTCGTCTCCAGAGTGTAATCGGGTGAGATACTCGGATTGGAATTTCATGCGTTGAGACACGGGCGGTTCGATAGTCGCGTTTTGATTAGAGATCAACTGGTGCTGTGCTCGGTTGAAAGGGGGACCGATTACTCGAACTGAAATTCGTCTTGAGAGTCAACACGTCGATTTAAAGCGGCGACACGCAGCTCTTCTCGACTCGAATCTTAGACGAAGTCCGAAGACCATTTTCCAAAATTTCCTTCGTGAAGCTCTCTATTGAGTCGAGATTGCGAACAAATGTCAAATTGAGTCCCAAGATTCATCGATTAAACAGTACCGCGTCTCAAGACCGGTTTCAGTTGAGTTTTTCAGCAGAATCACGAGTTAAATACGGGACTTGGAGTCGGGGGGAGGGGGGGGCGAATTTCCGCGCTATGTAGTGTTGATTCGAGCGTCTGTTTTCATCCGCGTTTGAGTGCCGCGATAGCAACAGACCCAGTTTGTTAGAGATAATACGCATGGCATTCTCGGCTTCGCGCTTCGCTCGCTTTGTTCGGATTTTCCGGGTATCTTGTGACGCGTACTCGCATCGCGCATCGTCGATCAATGATGCGCGATACGAGCCATGACAGTCGCGCATTTAAAAAGAAGCGTGCGCAACAGGTGGCATCTTTCATCGGGTGAACGCGACTTTTGTCATGTAACTAAAGCTTGGAATTAGACGAACGTTTTTCTCGATATCGTTAAATCCGTTTCAATTCAATTTATTATCATTCTTCGTATTAATTTGTTTTATTCTAGCTATTAGCAGACAGAGAGAGAGAGAGAGAGAGAGAGAGAGAGAGAGAGAGAGAGAGAGAGGGGGGGGGGGGGGGGAGAGAACATGAATGTTAATTGCGCTGATTTTTTCCGGCTTATTCACTTTTCTTATAACTGTCTCTTCTGTAGTTTTACTAATTAGAAGAATCGTGACTGAAAAAGCATGCATGACAGGCAGCGTAACTTCAATCGCTTATATTTAGTCGCTTATACAGGTACTTGGCGCGAGACACTACCGTGTCTCGTGATATTTCATCGCACGTTGGGAATAGCTGATTTTTATGATGCATCGAGTGAACACTATTTGTATCGTGAAACCGAAACGTGAAACTAGCCGAACGGTTTTGGCACTGTTGACTTTGTTTTAACTTAATTTCCCATCAGTCTTCATATTAATTTGTTTTATTTCAATTATTGTGTGCGTGTGTGTGCGACCCATATCTACTAAACACACAGAATATATAGGACTAAAGGCCAGGGACGTTAGTGTCTAAATAATTTATTTTAAATTTATCGCGAAAAATGTTACCTCGGCCAGGGGAACCCAGACCTCCCACAGATATTATTTTCCTCGCTTGTTTTAAATTATCTGCCGCAGCAACTTTATTAACACTAAACAATGTCGTGGCAGACACACGTGGCTATTGGCATTATAAAAAAGAATACGCGTAACATGTAGCGCGCCTCAATATTTTATCGCATATTTGACGTTGGAAATGACCGTCTAATTTTCATGCTGCAACGGGCGAACATAATTCTGTCGTGTAACTAAAACTGGACAAGTGTTTCTGGCTTGTTTCAATTTATCGTCGTTCTTTACAACAAGTTGTCTCACTTAAATCATTAGCGAGGAGAGAGAAATAGGACGAGTGAGAAGGGGATACGTAAATATTGTACTACTTTCTTCCGGCTTATTTATTTCACTGTCGACTGCTCCGCAGCCATTTTATTATTTAATATCCCCGAGAGACTCTTGTCGTATGCGACACATATTGTACTTATCGCTGAGATACGTGATACAAGTTTAAGTTAAGAAGACACGTTTATTTTTCAAAAGTGCTGGAAACACTCCGGCCACTGTGCCCATTCGTGCAAACTTGTACGCTATTTCTCTCGCGCAGTTGTGTCTCCTCCAAAAGTACGCAAGCTAACATTCCCATCGTCTCCGTCGAAATCTTTATGTTTCCTTCAATCTAATCTCTATTTCAAGATCCCCCCGCCGATTTCTTCGCGATCTTGCGAGCCGCGGTCGCCAATAACGAAGGTCGACGAGGCCTCGGGCATTTCTCCGCTGTGAGAGCTCGCGTCAAAATTCAAACGCAGCCGAGCCGTGTCGAGGCGATTGCAGGAAGAGCCTCCCGATTACGAAATCCGCTTCCTCGCGCGATTCGCACGCTCCTGGCGATCTCCGAATCGCCGCGTGCTCCCGCGCCACGTGCGCCTTATGTGAACGCGCCCGCGTGTTTATTTCACCTTCGCCGCTCGCTCAGTCTCGATCCGCGATCCACGACGTGATCGACGGCGGCACGTAAGACTTTCGCTTGCGCTCCTCGGCCAACGGGACGGCTCCGGGATCTTCCGTCTATGATCGGCGTGGTCTCGAGGGGAGAAAGGACATCGTTGGTACGAGCCACCTGAAGACTTCGTTCTTTCTCCCGCGTTTTTCTTTCAAAGAAAAGCTTCGGGATCGATCCCGCGCTGAACGCGCGGACCTTTGGAGAGCGCTATCGGCCTCGCGTGTTTCATTCGTGACTCTCGAACGGGACTGATAAGACGAATACTGCCGGCGCAATTACTGGCGAAGACCTCGGTGCGAGGGGAAATAAGTGACGACCGACCGCGCGCTCCTGCCGATAAATCGACTATTAAATCCATACGCGGATGCAATAAACCGGCTCCGACTTGTGAAAGCACCTGAATTGACACCAAGAGGAACGTGCGGAGCCCCCAGGACGCGGGATATACCGAGCGGTGCGCCAAAGGTACCAACGGGAACGGCCGTTGCGCGGAGCTTCGATAAGACCGGGTGCTGCGCGGAGGAGAGAGATCCTTTCATCTGAGAAGCAAACTGACTCGATCGGCGATATTCCCGAATCTGGGGGGCTGCTTTTTCCTCGACGATTTCTCTCCGTCCCAGACGGAGAGTTCAAAGACACTTGACATTACGGGCCACTGAAAAAAAAAACAGTGTATATACTTGGTGAATGTCGGGTGTGGGACGAAGGCTCGATTACGACAAGACACATCTTCTCCAAATGGAGATAGAAGAAAGAGACGGAGACGGAGTGAACAGATAGGAGAGGGAGCGAGAGAGTGCGACGTGCGTCGGCGAGTGGGGATCCTGATAAAGACGGACCGACCGAGAGGAAAGGCGGAGGGACCGGGAAGGAAGAGTGTAAAAAAAGAGAGAGAGAGGGAAAGAGAGGGAGAGTGCGGACGCGTGAGGGGGAGAGAGAGGCCGCTAATGTTAGATCTTTTATCTGTCGGACGAGCGGGTCCGGGCTGAGCACGGGGCCTCTTTCCACCGAAAGAGTGCAACGGGTCTTCGTGTCTTCGTGCCGACGAGTAGACGGGTGCAGTCGAGCCGCGTCCCTCCGGAGGACGACACGATCCCGTCCGCGCGACTTGAACAGCGCGCACTGGTCGCCGCGCCGCCTCGGACGAGCCGCAATCTCGTCTTCCTCGTCTTCTTTTTTTTTTCGTTTCCTGGCATTCTCGGCGCTCACCCGCAGCGATTCGACGGGACGAAGGATCGCCGGACCGGCGGTCGTCTCGCCCGGAGGAGAAGCGACACGGCGACGTCGCGCGATCGGCGGCCGATCGACTGCGAGCTGGCTGGACCCGCGAGCGCTTCACCTCGGGATCGATCATGGATGACGAAAAGATCAAGCTGTACGTGAGTTCCCTGCGAGACGCGATCGCGCTCGATCGAATCGGGCGGGACCGGCGAGCGGAAAATTTCGCGATATCGTGGAAATCTCGTGGGGGGGGAGGGGGGGGAGGGGGAGGAGGATCCGTTGTCCATCTCTAGCGGATCGTGCTCCCGGTTTGCTCCGCTTTGAGGGATGCGTCTGTGACACTTCCGCGCGCGACTAATTGTCCTGCGCGAATCTGCGACGAGCGGATTTCCGAAGGGAGACGACCGAGTGTTGCGCGAGGATACATAACGTGTCTGGTGGAATCGGAAGCTGGAGTTCGTCGTTCCCATAGACATATAAAAGATAGACTGCTTATGAGGCAGTGGAACCCTAGGTGGGGGCATCCTCCTGAGGGAGAAAGGACAACATGAATTTATTTGGGTATCTGTCTTCCTTTAGTGGACGTGATCTGAAGGCGATCACGTGATCATGCCCACGTGATCACGTACACTAGAAGAAGATAGATACCCAAATAAATTGGTGTTGTCCTTTTCCCTCAGGAGGACATCCCCCACTACCTCATAAGCAGTCTATCTTTTATATGTCTATGGTCGTTCCTCGGGAGAGGGGTATCTTTCGGGAGATCGTCCCTCTTCGCTGTTGATCCTCGCATCGCTCGTATCGAGCCTCCCCTCTCTCTCTTCGGAATACACCCGCTGCTAGGCATCGCACGGTATTATACTGTTGATATCGAGTCACACTGGCGAACGAAAGGTATGGGATGATCGTTGGCTGATGGTCCCAATCGATGGGAAAATTAAATCCCCTTGGCGAGGGGAGTTGGAGAAATTACAAGTAATGTCGTCTATCATCGAGTTCTCTCGGTGACACGCTGTCCAGAGTAATTGGCAGGCATCGCGTACAATCTCTCGGATAATTTTTTTCAATTCGAGGCGCCAGAATCCCTCCAAAAAAAATATCGGAGTCAGGAGCGCCGAGAGTCTCTCGAATTATCAGTCTCTTGACGAATTAAACCTCGAGTTCTCATTCGTCAAGAAAAACAGATACGCTGGAGGTGTAATGTCGCAAGGAGGCCTTGAGAGAGCCCGATGCAGCGAGAATATCGCATTGTGAAAATATTCTTGAGCCTCGTGTCCACGATCCAAGTGTCCAAGTTCTAGATTCGAGAAATGTGTAGCGAATCAACTTGTAACTTTTATGGAATAGCTGCAAGTTGATTAGCTACACATTTCTCGTAACTAGAACTTGAACCAAGTTCTAGCATCGTAGACACAGGTATTTAAGCCTTGTGTACACGATCCACTATGTCCCAATTCTAGTGTCGTGGACACAGGCCTTTAAATCTTGTGTCCACGATCCAAGAACTGTGCTCAAGTTCTAGTTTCGAAAAATGTGTGGCCAATCAACTTGCAGCTTTTACGGAATTGCTGCAAGTCGATTGACTACACATTTCTCGAAACTAGAACTTGGACCAAGTTGTAGCATCGTGGACACTGGCCTTTAAGTCTTGTGTCCAAGTCCTAGTTTCGATAAATGCGTAGTCAATCAGCTTGCAACTTTTCCGCAAAAGATTCCATTCTCGTTGACAAGAACAGTAAAGCCTTGTGTCGATTCAAGAACTGCGTCCAAGTTCTAGTTTCGAGAAATATGTAGTCAATTAACTTGCATCTTTGACGGAATAGCTGCAAGTCTAGAATTTGGACACAGCTCTGAATCGACACAAGGCTTTACTGTTTTTGCCGACGAGAATGGGTCGTCTTGACCGTTGCCTCTTGACACTCGCATGTCAACTCGGCGAGAAAGCCTCCCTTTCTCGATTTCTCTTTCTTCGGACAATGTCTCCGCAATGTTAACGAGCTCGGTAAGGCCGGCTGTTGCTGATTGCCGAAATTATACGCGACAATTTTGCCTGACGTGCAAGGTGGCACCGCGAGGCAACAAGGCCGCGATTCCCCTTCACTTTGCCACGCGACAGGATCTCTAATACAATGGTCGCACGCGACGTGCAACCAGTTTTCGCGAGCGTTAACGGAAAACGCACGTTTCTCCTGATTAAACCGTCATGCATAACCGTCCAGCGCGCGGTTCTCGCCTGTAAAAATGACAAATTGAGTTTTTCCCCGACGACTTTGTAATCGAGTCCCCACGTCTCGATACGAGACACGCGGTGTCTTCGAGTTTCTCTTCGGAATTTTTTTTTCCAACACACACGCGATTACTTCTTGTACGTTAATTACGTAAGATCGTAGTCTTGTGCAAGATTCGTTTTGCAAAAGTCCATTCCGTGAAGTAGAATCCCGAAATGTAAAAAAAATGTCGGTAACTTTCATCGAATCGGTCCTGTCGCTGTCTCTGCTCCGGGTGTTCCCCGCTTTTACGATATTTACGATGAATATCATTGAACTCGGATAAAATCGCGTCGACATTATTTACGCGAATCGTGACTCCGAGGAACTACGTAATTACGTAGCAACTACTCGTGCGAGGATGATAAGAGGAGTGCACTCTCGCGTGATTCCCGCCTCGGTTTTGCTCATCGCCGAGTATTTTCAAGGAACGCCGGAATAACGGGATCGGCTTCGAGCGACCTAAAAACATGACGGCGGTGTCCGTGGACCTTCAAAACGTAGCCTTGAAATACTTGGCGTTGTCGGTGTCTCCTTTTTTCACGAGTACATTAGTAACCCATTCGCTAAACGTGAATGGATTCGCTACTACACTTGGCTTCACGAATCCACGAAATAACTTCAGGTCACTCGAAGCTGTACGCTGCATCCAGCGACCGACGATACGTTTGGCATTTGTACTTGATTTAAATAGTAAAATAATTATTTCTTATCTAAATATATAAGGAAACCGGTAGGAAGCGGCGTCGTTTTCTTTAATCAAGTTATTCTGGCGTAGATTCCATTTTAACACTGTCAATAGGTTTATAAGTAGAGTCAGATCGATACTTATAATGTTACCCTAACAGCACATGGAAATTCTAAGCATATTTGAGGTATAAAATACATGTAGGACGGTGGTTCCAGTACATTAGGATAATCTTAGTGCCGAGGGGGTAAACCGTAAACCGCTGACCAAAAATCTTGTACACCAATGCCCACAGTGGGCATTACTTTATCTTATTATCTTATCATCTTAGACAAATGCAAACGAAATAAGATAACAAGATAAAGTAATGGGCATTACTACGCTGAGAGAAAAAGTTATTATATGTTTTTAAGTTGAACATACAGTGATTTGTAGAAACACATTTTTTTTTAATTGACGAATACTTTTGTGAATTGATAAACATTTGCTTGGCAGCCCGTGATCGCCGCATATGGGAATATTTCTTGATTCGACACTTTTTTTTCTCAGTCGTGTAGGCATTGGCGTACATTGGTCAGCGGTTTACCCCTCGGCAGAATGTAATGAATTACGATTGTAGACAAAAAATTTACTGAAAAACATATTAGATATACCTATTACGTTTACGAGTTTCGTCGCGGTCATAACGTAACCACAGCCGGTAGAAAGAAATTTGTAGTATTCCTCCCGACATAGCTCTATTAGATTATTATCTTTTTTGATCATTAAAGCATTTATGAGCAAAAACTTTGCAAGAGTACACAGTGTTCAAATTATACCTGTTTACATTTTTCGAATCAAGGCCAGTTGGCTTCTTCGAGAGGAAGGAGTTGAAAAATTAGCAAATAATATCGAAACACCATAGAAAATGAGGGCGTTTGTATTATTCAATAAGCAACAAATTATATCAACGGGACCATACATTTTTATACCATTTATAAAAACGGCCTTACATTCCGGTCTAATATTCTTTTTAAGCTACACTGAAGCTACATTGCGTCTCAGTTTCACGTTAAATGCTCCTTCAAACTAAATATACTTTCGAAGCGATGTGAAGTATGAAAATTAGCTTAATCGAGCTGCGAGACAAATACAATGTGCAAATAATCTTGCTGGACTATCCTCTTTAACGGCTCGCTGCTAGATCGAATGTCGTTGTGGAAAGAACGAGGTATCAATGGTTGTTTAAAGCACGATCGGTCGCGGTTGACTTCTCGGATTTCTCTCTCGTTAGCGCATCATGAGAAACCGCATACGCCGCAAGCTCTTTTGCTTCTTCTTTTTTTTTAAAATCGATTATCGACCTGTCACGCTTTCCAAGGGTTAAGAACGATGAATCGTTAATTCATGATTGTCTAATCGGAACTGTGCTGTCCACAATTTTTTGCGGTGCACAGGCAGAATGTAGGACCGTGGCTTCCTTTTACTCCTGTGAACAATCCATCTTTGCCGTCGACGCCGCCAAGCCGCGTTCGGCACGCTATAATATGTTATCTCGCGCTAAGTCGCAAAAGTGCCAAGTAGCAGTATTTGCGAAGTGGATAATTTTACAGCCGTTGTAACGAGCAGAGTTTTATCGCGGGGTGGGAAGGGCGCACTCGCGCGTGCGATCGCGATCGTGCGATCCTGAAACGATCATAGGCGCCGCGAGGATCGCTTTCGAGTTTTCTACCCGGAGCAATCGGTCTAGGATGTCAAAAACAAGAATCTTCCATTTTCCTCTTCCCAATTTCAAGGTACAAAAATGTAGGTTCAAACAAATCTTAAAAATTCTAAAACTTACATAAAAATTATTTGAAAAAATATGAAAAATTCTGAGAAAAATTATTTTTAAAATATGAGCAATTCTAAGAAAAATTTTCAAGGCGAAAATTGTAACAATATATACATATTGTTACAACACCGATTGTTTGGTGCACGTATCAAATAGTCATTTCTTATTAAATGGATTTAACGAGGGGGAAACCGCTGATCAAAATCTTGTACACTAATGCCCAGTGGGAATTACTTTATCTTATTATCCTATTTGTTCTTATTTATCTTGTTTTATCTTATTTTATGTTTATAATGCCCCAGCAAGGCCTACTGCCGAAACTAATGCCCAAAAAATGCCTGGTAATGCCTAGTAATGCCCAGTAATGCCGCAAATCTGTACACCAC